GTACACTGGCTGAGGCAGGTCTTGCCTGAGATCTGATTGTTTAAGTGCTAACAGTTTGGAAGTCTGTTGTTCAGCACCATTTCTTGATTATCCAATTTCACACTCCTGCTTATATCACCAGTTAATCCTGGCTGCTGACCTTCACTTGAGATACAGCATGTCCTACATCCAAGTAACAGTCAGCACTACAGAGCTGAGAGGTGCTGGAGAGCTCTGACTTGTTAACACTTGGTATTCCCACTCTGGGATCATGACCAGCAGAACTTGTGGTGCCTCTCTCAAGCATTGAGTGAACTTTTTCATTTTTCCACCCCCCCCTTCTGTCACCTATATGATATGGAAATTCTGAGGAACTAGCTAATTTTAGTATTTCTTTATATCAAATTTTTATCATTATTACATGCATTTTCCCCCATTCTCAAATTTTTAAAAATCCTCCTTCTCATGTTGAATAGAGTAGCTTGGATTTGCACTATTCACACTGCCAACTCTATTCAATTAATTGCAATATTCCTCTTAAAAAGGGAATGCTGAATAAGGATTTCAAGGATAGTCTGAGGTATGATCCACTGAAATCAGTAACTAGTTTTCTGTTTATTTTACTACACCCTGGATTATATCCCATGTGCAGTGTCCACTTGCAATTCCCCTGTCCTGCCATGGTTTGTTTTGCAATGCTGTGTGTGCAGGTCAGTGTTCAGCCTGGGTCTGGAGGGGTTTTGAGCAAGCAGATTTGAACATGCTTTGTGCATTTTTATGTGATTGTAAAAACCAGGATAGAGCCAAGAGATCCTGCTTCATGTGGCTGATGCTTTAGCCATGCTGCAGTCTTGCAAGGAAACAGGGAAATATAGATGGAAAAGGACTGTGTTATGGAAAGTACTTGAACCTGCTGTGAACCTTCCAGAGGAGATAGTCCAAATTGGCTCGAGTCATCAGCTGAGGAGGCTGATCATGTTCAACATCTGAAAACCAGGAATAGGCAAACAATTTCTGCCTTTGGAGGGAATGGCTTCTGATAAAAGACAGTGGGAATATCACAAAAGGAAATGCTTTCTTGACATTTTAATGCGAATCAGTAAAACAAGTCAAAACCAAGGGATTATTTGTAGACTGGTTAATCTTTCTCGAAAGCAATCTATGATGATAGAATAAAAGAAAACAAACCCCTTCAACAGTGCTAGGAAACAGAGACACTTCAGTTCATGACCTAATTTCTTTCCAAAAACATCACTGTTACATTTCAAAATTCTCTTTGATTATTCAGAGGAGTTTTTCCTCAGTTTTTTACTGTACTAATTTAAACACAACAGAGTTGTTTCCCTCTGAGATAGTTTGCATTTGAAAAGACAACTTGTCTCATGTAACATGCAATGTTACATAGCATAGAGTGATGCTCCATGTTTTCCAGTGGCAATGCTCTTCAAAGCTTATGGAGCTGTTGGCAAGTTCCTCTTCTGGGCATGAGGTGTTGTAGGGACACCGATCTGTTTGTTTTGTTGTCTGATAAATGGCTCATTTTCTTCAGTATTTGCATTTGCCTTTCTTGTTCTCCAGAGGATCTCTCTCTTAGGATTTTTCTCTTTAGAATGCCTTTCCAGAGATGTGCCATGATGATCTTGAGCTTCATCACAGTCCTTTACTCCTACACTTAAAATTTCCAGCTGTGGCCCCGGTGATACTTTGCAGGCATCACAGGAAACCCTCAGGAGTGTGTCAGGACTTCATTTTTATAGCAAGCAATAGTAATTCAGCTTTCTCAGACTTGGAAGTGCAGGTTACAGTCCCTTTGGAAATTTTTATGGATGTGTTTCATCTTGGAGCTGTGCCATCAAAGTCTATCTATTGCTTTGTGATACTGTTCTGACTTCTGAGAGTTCTTGCTGAAATATTTCCAAAATAAAACTCCTGCTATCGCAGCTCTATTTGGGGTTAAGTTATGGTTTATCAGATCAGCTTTCAGGGCTTGCGCTTCAGGGGGGCCTCAAGGTTCCATGGAAGAAAAAGTTTGTGCAGGTCTCTTACAGCGTTTTCCATCTCTGCTGCCCAATCCTCCTTTGCTGTAACCTAAAATGACAGTGTTCTGCCTCCCAGCACAGCTGACTCGTTGTGCCTCTCTACTCTCCCAGTTTACAAAACAGGAATCCCTTTTGTGTGTCCTGTTCAGATTTAGCCTAGCAAGTATTTGTTTAGTCACTGGTTTTGAGAAATATTGACATTTAATAGCGCTGGAATGCCAGCAATCAATACCCAAGTGTTCCTTTTTGTGAGGTCCATGTCTGTTCTCTCTTTGGTGGTCAAAGGTTTGTGAAGAGATGAGGGGGAAGAGAAGTCCACATGTCTGGCAAATGTCCGAATAGTTGTGGCAGAGATCTCACTTGATGCACTTATCAGTGGTAGAGATGTAAGAGAGGAAAGAAAATGCTGATACTTTACAGGTAGAAAGGGAAAACCCCCAGGACTATTGCATTTGCTTAAAAAACCAAAACCAACCGAAAACAAAATGAAAAAAGGTATTTTTTGATTTTCTCTCATTCCCCTGCTCCCGTGATTTTGCCGCTGACTTCCATGGCACCATAAAGAGATCCCTCTGCTTTTTCTTCTGGTGTACAGTGACATCTACAGAGTGGAGCACAGCAAACAACGCTTTCCCATTTAGTGCCACGTCTCTTTTTTGACTGTTTTGCTTTTATGTATCATTACTTTAAACTCATGATTTTTTGCATTTTAATGCATGTACAGTATTATTTGTCTTTGTACATTCCCATAGAAATGTACCCTTTTTTTTCTTTTACCCTGACAGAAATGACTTTGATGTTTGGAAATGCAGTTTACAAACCCAAGCACAAATTCCTTTCTCTTGATGGGTAAACTGTCTGGTTCTACAGTGAAATGCACTGAAAGATTCCACCTTTTTTGAAATAAGTTTTCTTTCACAACTGTGTTGTTTTCATCAAGAAGTGGGTTTTTGGTGCTTTTGGTCAGTGCTTATTCTGAAATTATCACAGATAGCTTTATCATTAGATGTGTTCATTATTGAGGTAATGATTTACATGATTTGAAGAAAATACTAAGATGTAAATTCCATTTAATTAATTAATAAATCAATAAGGGTACACATAGAGCTTTTTTGCAGAATTTTTCTTTGTTAGACAGAATCCTTAATTCTGTCTCATACATTTTTGCTTGGTTTACTTTGTGAGTTTATTTTTTTCCCCTTATTTTTTTTGTCTTTAAGAGGTAATTTATTAGGTATGTGTAAGAATATAGACACCTGGCCTCTGAACTTCATGGCACTTATTTTTTTATTGTTTTTGTTCATGCTTTTTCTGTAAAGGTCCTAATTGTGGTATTTCAAAATATAAACATTTGGGGGTAATTTTTCTTAGCTCTTGGATAACATTAAATGTATCAAACTAAGGTTTAAAATTACTGAATCAACGTATATAAATATATCAGAAGTTGGTTTAGTCTTGTTTTTTTCCCCTACCAGGTCATATACGCTAATAATATTAACTGCAAACCAGATCCAGGTCTCATTAAACTAATACAGCAGAATGCTAATCAGAAAATTGCCAAGTAATGAACAAACCCCAGAACTTTTAAACCTTATTAAGCGATTGTAGCTGATGAGCAGGGTTTATAGCCAAGGCTTTCATGTCTGAAAAACGACCCTGAGAGTTTGCCAGCTGGCATTATGGGTTAATTTGGGGCAAACTCAATTCTCATAGAGGAAAGAACACAGTAAAATAATATTTCAGTGGAGCAGGAGGGAGCACTTAGAAGCCATGTAGTAAAAATGCACTCGTATGTAGAAAATCCTTGGCAAAATGTATTAAACCCTTTGGAGAAATAAATGAGTAAAATAGTCCCTGTAAAGTATAAGCAAACTATAGAATCTATGTAAGTAGTTAATGCTAGAAGACAGGAGTGATTTTCTAGGTGTCCAAAGACTCTTTGGCCCCAATAATATAATAATGTGTGTAAGATAATGTGTGTGATAGATGAAATATGTCCATTCCTCAAGAAGAGACAGAATAATTAAAAAAGTGCTAGTGTGATGTTTTAGCATTAAAAGGCATTGTCAGCACTTTTTTTTCTTCTAGGGGTCTGTTCTGTGTCCATACTCTGGACATTTCTTATGCTTATGTTCAGAGATTTTTAGTTGGGATTGAAAGGAGGAAGAAAAAGAAAGAAAAATAAAAACTGTAGAGTTTCACAAATAATGGAGCAAACTTCCATTTTCGTAGTGGCTTCAAGTCTGACTTTTCTAACATTAAGAATAATCACAGGAATCTTTCAATTGCTGCAGTTATTAGGGAAAGGGGCATCTGGAAAATGTCTTCCATTAGCTGTGGGTTTTGGCAGAGGCTCTAAGCAAGCGTGGTCAGTGTAATTAAACTGCCAAGTGCTTGAGGTGCTGGACTTGTTTGCTGTATGTATTTGCCTTCAATAAATATTAGTATTTCTCCTAAATCTCCTGCTCCAGCTGTGCCCCTGACATCATTTAAACATGAGTGTAGCATGTGACATGACAGCAGGGGGGCAGCATTTAGGACAAAATATGAGCAGGTTCCGTAGCAAATACCCATTTGCAGTAGATTTGCAGTAGATCTCTTCAGGAAATGTTCAGTCTGACAGAGAAGGCAAAAAGACCTGACTCCAACAGATTTCTCTTAGTGAGCTGTAAAAATTACCCTTTGCTGGAAAAAAATCAGCCTGGAGCCCTAAACTTCCAATGCTTTCAAAACTTTGTAGGCTTTTGGTCTGAATCCTTCTCTTTTTTTCATAAATATCAGAATATGACCTGTGAACTTGTAAATTTAGCCCCTGGGGAGATCCCTGGGGTTGAGCCAACCCTACCACAGATTTTGGGTGAACGCTGAATGATGAATGAACTCTTAAGCAACGATCTCCAACAAGAGTTAAATCTGACTTAACCTTTTCTAGCTCAATTTGATTTCAAGTTTGCATTGCTCTCTCTGTACCTCTTCATGTAGACACCCCTTTATCTTGTCAACCATGGGGAGACTGGACCGATCCGATGCAACCGGTGCAAAGCTTACATGTGTCCCTTCATGCAGTTCATTGAAGGTGGGAGAAGATACCAGTGTGGATTTTGTAACTGTATAAATGATGGTAAGTGGTATTTCTCTGACCTGTGATTCATGCAAATTCCATAACACTGTAAAGAAACTGTATCGCTACAATGATTTTCTTCACTTGCTGACTTGCTGACAAAATAGTTTAGGGAGATGCAGTAACTGGGCTTATTTCACAAATGAAAAAAAATTACTTCCCAAGAATAATACAGAATAAAGAATAAAACATTTGTTCAGTCTGATTTAAAAAAAAAAATATGTATGGAAAATAATGCTGACTCATGAAGCCCGGTCTGGTATGATCAAAACTTTATTTTAAAATTTTACATCAGCCCAGGATACAAAGCTGCTTGTGTTAACTGAAAGCAACTTCTGTGTGGAAAAAAATTAATTTCTTTAGGAAATGTAAATGTCCAGCAAGAAGCAGATATGTAGAACCATGTTAGCCTTGTCCTGTCCATGACTGTGGTTGCAATGGTTAACTAAGCCATTAATCTTACTGTGACAAGTGTTGGTGTTCACAGAAGATACCATGCCATATTTGTTCAAGTGTGCTGCATGTGACTCATAACTGTTCTTGTGCTCTTGGCGAAATCCCAAATCTTTGCCAGAACTAGCCTTTCTAGACATTTGTATCAAGTTGGATTTGCCCAGCTGGATCACAGGGGGATAGTGCTTTCCCTAATACAGTCATCTTTTCAACTCTGAAACGTGAACCTCCACAGACTCGCTCCAACCGCTTCTCTGCCTCGAGCTCTAATGTTTGTGCAAGCGTAGCAGATAATAAATTTCATAGTTTGTTAACTCTCATAAAGGGAAATATAAATGCACTGGGAACACTTTAAGAAAGACATTTATGTTGCAGTGTCATTTTAAATCATGCTTTGTATTACTACAGTGTCTTTTATCCAAGTCAGAAAGCGCTTATTAAAAAAAAAAAATTGATGAGGACTAAAAATGGCCAAGAAACAAGGTTGATATTCCTCTCACACACTTGCACTTTTACAGGCAAAAATGTGAAAAATAAGCATTCTGAATATGTATTCATTGAGGAACAAGGAGCTAAACCCCAGAGGTGACTCTTCCCCAAAGTGATTCTAAGCCTTAGACTGGCTCTGTAAATTGTTGATGGCAAACACACTTGATTTCCTACTTTTTACCTGTAGCTGCAGAAGGTTCCCAATATAATGGACCTGATGCTCTCGTACACTAGGCCAGGGCTGTGAACCTTGTAGTGCTATTTCCGGTGCAGTGGTATTTTTGGATAAAGCAGGACAGGCTTTAGGAAAAGTTTTACTGCTGTCCCTCTGCAGAGCTCTGGCTGTGGTGATTTGAATTAATCTGAGGCTAGACTGTATCTGCTAACAAAATAGTCACTGTTAAGTCTGTATCCTGTGGGAAACAGGCTCCTGCCAGTGGGAATGACCTGGGTCAGTTTTACTGGAGAAGTGTTTAAACTCTTCCTTTGATCAGAGAAAGAGGAGCCTACATTAGTACATCACATCTGCTGAAAGAATTTGTCGTGTTGTTCCCCTCCTTTCCAAATTGTAAATGTTTTTTCCCTGGTTCTTTTGTTGGCTTGTAGTCCCTTCATTCTTCTTTCAACACCTGGACCACATGGGCCGACGGATAGACCACTACGAAAGGCCTGAGCTGTCCCTGGGATCTTATGAATATGTTGCTACTCTGGACTATTGCAGAGTGAGTATTTCCAGTATGCAAACCAATGTTACATCAAGGCAAACAAGCTCCTTTAAATACTTACAGTTGAGTAAATGCACTTGTAAGGTGAGCATCAGAGTCCAGGAACGTTCTAGAAGATGTAGATACACGTGGAGAATGTAATGTTTTGTTCTTTTGTGCTGCAGAGTGGGAGACAAACAAGTAATAATAACAAACAGCACAGCAAAGTCATGGATCACCAGTATTTAATGGGGCATTCATTTGGTACTAGCTGGTGTGTTGCATTGCATAGGGGATATATTTGAGATTCTGATGAATTGTTGCATTTTAGATGTATGTCTTCTATGGATTCTGAAGACAGGCACACACATAAATTGCCTTCCCAATATTGAAAACCTTAGTAAGGGAATTTGACCTTGTAATCTTTTCCCGGCAAGAGTAGTTTTGGTGTTCTTACCAGTAAGTTACAATGGAATGAGTTCTCTCTCCTAATATTGATTCACTGAAGGACTCAATCCAAAGCCCACTCAAGTCTCTGTAAATATTTGTAGTTGGTTTTATTAGAGAACTGAATTTGATAGTTCTGGGATCATAAATTCTTAAATTTTTCAAACTTTAGCTCAGTTTACAAAACTGCAAGTGTGATTTCATCTGACCACAGCACGGACATATTTTTCTGTTCTTGCTGAAATCAGGCAGAATTTTCTCCCTGGGAGTGGAGCTGAGGTCATGGTAAGGTTAGGAAAGGCAACTGGGCCCTATGAAGTCTTGAAGTAGCTACCAGTAACTTCCTCAGACCATCAGATTATTGCTGGTATGAAGAAAATGGACAGGTTTAATTCTACTTTTTGACTAGGGCACTGCTCCAAATCCAGTGAAATCCCTGAGATAACCTATAAAGATTGGATTGAAACCTGGGTTAAACCCCAGAACAGAAGAGAATTGTGGTGGTGAGGCATTACAGAAACACAGTGGGGGATGCTCAGTGTGCATCCAGTGTAGCTCCATCAAATTCTGAAACCTCTTGTGTGCTGAACGGCTGTGTGCCATTTCCACCCTTCTTTTTCTCTGCCAGCTTGTTGCAAAGACCCATCCATAGACTTACTGGAATGTTACAGAAATGAAATCTTCTATGGAATTAACAGTTACACTGGAAATGCCAAGTCATTAAATGTTACAGAAGTTAACATTATTTTATAATTCACTTTTCATTTGGCTCCGAGTTGTAGAGGTTTAAATATTTTATAAATCCAGTTCAAGACCAGAACTGAGAAGTCATTTCCTTTTGTGCTTATCAAATGACAAGGATGAACAGCCACAAAAAATGTTAACAAATCCCAGCTGGTTTGCATTATTGCCCTCCTGCTTAGTGGATGTGCCGAGAGCACGAGCCCTTGTTTCTACCATTTATTTGTCAGAAATTAGGCAGAGATTCTTTATGAATGGTGATCTGATACAAGAGTTTAGAAGCAATGTTTGGTGCAGTTTCTGAAACTTTAGGATTCAAGTAAACAGAACAGCTTTGAAAAATACTGCCTGGTTTCAGTTCACAGGAATTAATCCTGATTTACATGAGTCAAATGAGTGCAATCAAGGGTATAATGTTTAGTTTAGTTTAAAGTGTGCCAGGGACTAAGGATAAGTCATAATTCAAGGGTTAGATGAATTTTTCTTAGATGGAGGTACACTGCTGTCCAGAATGTGTTGGAGTGTGAGACAGCAAGGCAGAGACAGGATGCAGACAATCACCACTGAGTGCTGCAGAGAACTGAGATGTTCTAATTCTGGTTCAGTACCCAAGCTGTACTTTCTGTTTCCAGATTGGTTAAAAATCCCTTAAACAGCTGTTAGAGGAAAAATGCTAAGAAAAGCTAAATTTCAGCATTAACAAAATTATATTCCATCTCGCTATAGGGAATGCAAAACCATATGGGTTTGCCAAAAGGCAAATTTGTTTAAACACTTGAATTCCGGCAGAAAATGTTTGTGTCGCATCTTATCTAATAAGCTGTTATCCTTTAGATATTTTGTTCCATTAGGATGCTGTTTTCCATTGACAACGTTTTATTCCAGGGCTGGACTTTACCCAATTCGTGTCAGCTTTCTGCAATAGTTCCTAGTTATCATTCACAGCATTTTCCAAACAACACTGTATTTACATTGCTTTTTATGGTACCACCTGTACAATTTTCCTCATAACAAGACACTGTCTAATTTTCCCTGTGAATGTTTTTTTTGTGTAGGACAAGAAGCCTCCAAATCCACCAGCTTATATCTTCATGATTGATGTATCCTACAGAAACATAAAGAGTGGCCTAGTTAAACTCATATGTGATGAACTAAAGACTCTGCTAGATAAACTTCCAAGGTAAAGAAACAGTGTGCTTTGTTTAACTCACTACACTGCACTTCTCATGAAGCAGCTCTGCATGTTGAAAGGCAAAACCAAGCTATAGAAAATGTTAGAATTTACAGTACAGGCATTTTTGGGGTGATAGTGACAAAATGTTAGTTTTTAGCACTGCTGGCAGTTGTTAGACCTTGATGTCTGGGTTTACTGTATGAACAGGAAGACTCTGCCATACCAACTGCACGTGTAGCTTGTGTTCTTTTCCTTTCTTGCAGTGAACTCTAGTGGTGTTTTCAGCTCAGTCACAGCTCATAGTTTCGACTTTACTTGCTGTAGTTGTGTTTACTGCAATGCTGCTTTTCTCATTAAATTAAACAGGGAAATACCCAAAGCAGAGTACTTGAGAGTGGCCACTCTCTTAGAGCCATAGTGTTGGTGCCTTGTATCTTTAGCTCTTACTGTTAATAAGCAAAACATTTAAAGCATCTTGCTGCATTGCGAGACTTTCTTGTCCTGGTTTGTACCTGAGAGGAGAACAACTCTTGTGGGCAGCAAACATCTTATGAAATACAGCACATGTGCTTTGTGAGCATGAAACACACATGTAGCAGTCTTGCTGCTGATCAGTATCATTGACAGGATATTATTTTAGTGCAGTGTAGTATGGGGTTTAGTGTATAGATATACTTTTCAATAAAGATTAAACAGTGATGACACATGTAGTGAAATGAGAGCAGTGAAAGACTCAAAAGCGATGTAGACAAGGTGTTTCTCGTCTGCATATAAAAAAGAACTTCCAAAAAGAAAATATATTCGAAGTGCCAATACTTGCAGAGGGAGAACACACTTAAGAAATGGAGAGAGCAGTGTGAGGAAGGGTGTGAGATAAGATCCTTGGGATAATCTGGGATATGCAATTCCAGTCCAGGGCAGGGGGGTTCATTTGTCAGATGCCCATGTAAGGCCATCTCTCAAGTACTTTTTCATTGAAGATCACACTGGAGACACAAGTATTCGGTATTATCCTGAACATGTCAGAGCTTTCCATCACGATCAGTCATGACTCCGAAGATAATAAGAGGCTTGAGTGGAGTAACAAAAAACAGCTGGCAGTTTACAAACACCTAGGCTTGAATAGGGAAAGTTGAGGAAGAATGAAAGCAAGTGTATCTACATCACAAAAGAGAAACATTTACCTTTCTCCTCACTGGCACTCTGCAGAGATCTGCTGCCAAATAATGTGGGCCGAAGTTTTCATGTCCACTGAAAAAAAAATTAAAAAAAAAAAAGAAAGCCAGGCCCTTTAGTTTCCCCAGACTTGTCTGTTGTCCTAAACAATATTAATTTAAAAAAGACCAACATAAGGCATTCCACCAAAATTTGTGATAAGACTTTGTGCTGAGACACAAAGGTCACTGTGTTCATTCAAAGTTCATTTTCTGTTGCTGGACAAATACACCTGCAAAAATACTCTGCTCTTACCACATGAGGGAAGAGCCTTGTGCAGGGACTTCGCCCTGTGCTTGTATCTTTAAGAGGAAGGACTTAGGGTAGTGAAGTGATCTATGTCACAAAAAGGTCTTGCTTGCTCAAATTTTAGAGCAGAGCTGTTCAAAATGTCTTCCAAGCCAGAACACAAGAGAAATCGAGAGAAATGTGTTTATAGAAATTGTGCTTATGAGCTCAGAAAATCACCATAATGAGTTGTGCAACTATGATTTTAAGGTGCATGACTAAAACAACATTTGAATGCTTTTCTGTAATATGATTCCTTGTCAGACTTTAAAAAGAACTAAATGCTGTGTGAGCTCCAAAGGCAGTTGTCTGCTGATCTTTAAATGGTGATAGATCTTGGATGAAGTGTGACAGTGCAGACATGGGTAAGAGCAGCACCTGGAAGAAAGGTCCAAACACCTGCTGTGTAACACCTTTGGGACTAGGATGATGTGGATGCTTCTCTTTGAAAAAGGAGAGTGCTCTATGTATAGAAATGTAATAGTACTTTGTCCTCCTCAAGCTCTGGGATGCTCCTACCAATCATGTTACTAAGAAGGCAGTGCCTGAGTGCTGAGAATGATTCAGAATTTACATCCAGAAGTGATGCATCTGTTTGAGTTACTGTATCTTGGAGGAATTACTTAAAATGCTTCCTTATGCAGTGTGCTCAATAGAGAATATTGATTCATTTTGGGTCAAAGTAGCCCCTTTCTCATCCAACTGCGTTCCCATAAAATGCAAATGGCAGATTAACATTCTAGACTGATGGCAGAGGTAGTTTGTAGGAGTAAAATTATTTCTGTGCCAAGGGCAAAGTTTTAGATAAGGCTGTGAAACTGCCAGTGATGGTTTTTGTGGTAAAGGGTTGGTTTGCTGTTTACAAGAGAAACCCTGCTACAAAAAGGTGCTGTTTTATTAGTAATTGAGACCAGTTTTTGACAAGGATTGCCTTTTAATGAATGCTCACTGAAGTTAGGACTGTGAACCTGGTAAAGGGCTAACTGGGACTTATTGGTGGTGCTGCTACTGATGGCAGAACGGGCTGGTGCTCTCAGGAGTCATCTCCACCAAACCACCCACCAAAGTCACCAGATATAATTCAAGCCTGGTTCTGCTCTGATTGGGCATCAAGCATTAGTGGCACTGAACTACAATGTATCCTAAATAAAGACTGTTTTCTCATCATATCTTGTAACTAATTGTCCTCTTTTTTCCATGTTTTGATGACAACATGGTTTATTCTTTATCTTAGGGACTTTTAACTGTTTGAGCAGGATGCACCATTGATGTAAATATATATTTTTTTAAAAAATAAACAATAGAGCAGTTGATTTTATCAGGGTGTTTGAATTTGACCCAAGGCAAAGACTGAGGCCATTACATCTGCTTGGTTGTTGTTTGCTTTGTTGCTCCCAGCACAGATAATGATCAGAGAGTGCCTTGCATGTGGAAGGAATGCTTTTATTGCAAAGTCAGAATTTCAGAATTATAACCACTTGGGTTTTGTTTTTCTTACAGAGAAGAACAAGAAGAATCCTCAGCAATTCGAGTTGGTTTTGTGACTTATAACAAGGTCCTCCACTTCTTCAATGTAAAAAGCAGCTTAGCTCAGCCTCAGATGATGGTGGTCACAGATGTTTCAGAAGTGTTTGTTCCTTTGCTGGATGGTTTCCTTGTTGACTTCGAGGAATCACGATCAGTTATTACCAAGTAAAGTATAATCATTCCTTTTGAGACTAAGATGTGAATGCTTTATGATATGCATTATGTCTTTTAGTCAGCTGGGGTTAGGGGCATACATGTATCTGTGGAAATACTTCAGAAGCCAGCAGATGCCTCTATTTCCACCTCTGAGGCAAAGAAATAGTGATAGCCATCAAAACTCGTATTATTTTTATAATATACATGTACATGGAAAATGTCTTCCTCTGTGAAGACTGGGTATGTTACAAGGTTTGGGGATGATCCCAAATATGCTGCCGAGTTGAGACATTGATCCTTTCTCTTTTGTAGCTTGTTGGACCAGATTCCAGAGTTGTTTGCAGACACCAATGAGAGTGAGACCATCTTCGCTCCTGTTATCCAGGCTGGCATGGAGGCACTAAAGGTTGGAACATGCCTTTCGGGAAGAGAACCAGCTCCAAACTGGGTTTGCCAAAAGCCAGTCCCATCACAGTGGGAAATTAGGGAAAAAAGTGATTGTTTCCAGCACTAATTCTAACAATTCTAGCTTTAGTCAAAATGAGAACACTGGCAAGCATAACATCTGTTCCCAGATTTTCTTATTGAGGGAAACCAGTCCCTAGAATCTATTCTACACCGAAGGGATGTTTAGGAGAAGATGAGGAGCAGGAGTCAGTTTGTTGTTCAGTATTTGGGAGAAATAAAGAAGTGTTTAGTTACTGCAGCAGAACCAGTCCATATTCTGGGTGTTTGCACAGGTACCCAGTCTCCGCATGTGTGAAGGGCAGGAAAGTCAGTATAAGATACAATTTTGCTCTGCTCCTTCTCCTGCTTCTGCAAAACTTCTTGTGCAAAACAGGATATTTATGACTGTATCTGAACTAGGTGGGATTGGAGGGTTTCTGTTTGACAAGTTCTCACAGCTTGGATACAGCTGGCAGTGACTCCAGGATGCTGCCCGGTCCCTTTCTGTATGTCCAGGACACCCCCTGAAGTGCTGACATTTCCCTGGAGCACTGCCAATAAACACACACCACCCTGGGTCACCACAGGATTTGTAGGGGCAGAACAGTGCTGGTTTAAAGTACTTGATTTATCTGTCAGCTTTGTATGAGTAAAGCATGAACTTTGAGCAGATTCTCAAATGTGTTTCTTAAATACTAATTTAATACCTATTTTCTTGTTATTTATTCATACTGCCAGCAGATACGTGTCTGAATGCTTTCCCCTAATACTTGACTTCTACAAAACAAATTTAAGGGCTCTTAATTAAGTTTTTATTTAGCTCAGTATTTTTAAGTTATAATTTGTAAGGATTTTCACTGGGAATTATGCATCTGCATATACCTGTGTACAGGAATGCAACTGTCACTCATCTATAAAACCATAATGAACACTAGTGTGTCTGAACTGAAAGAAACAATTTTCCTCTAAAACTACATTTTCTTTCACTTTTATCTGATCTTAGTATTTGTACTTTTTGATACTTGTTGCTCGTTGCATAATGCTTGCATCCAACTGGAAAATCTCTGAGAGAGGTACTCCCAGTTCTGCCCATCAAGATTTTAGATTTCTCTGTAGAAAGTACTGTAAGAACATATCAGGCAACATACCTGTGTGCTGGAGTAAGTTATTTCCTGACAGAAAAGCCCCAGTTTGTCTGGGAACTTACTTCCATCCAGTTTTTATCATTTCATTCTAAGTGATTTATCTATCTCTGAGGAACTCACAAAATTTACAGTGTTCTCTGAGAGACCCCAATGTATGAATATTAGGCTTGTTAAAATTGCAATAATAAACATGCCAGTATGGTATCTTTGAAACAGGCTGCAGAACGTGCTGGGAAATTGTTTATCTTCCATTCTTCATTGCCAACTGCGGAAGCACCAGGGAAGTTGAAGAACAGAGATGACAAAAAGCTACTCAATACAGATAAGGAAAAGGTATTTTCTACTCTGAGCTACCAGGGGTCTACTGTTACACTGATTTTCTCTAATAGGGCATTGATCTTTTTTCATTGATGCCTCTTTAGTGATTAGTTCTCCAAGAACGTACTGAAATGGTTCCCTGCAAACATGGGCAAGGGCAACATGTGTTGATCATAGCCATGGCTCACTTCAAACTTCATCCTTTTGTCTTCACGTGGCCATTTTGGTTGTGGTCGGTACCTAATGTGATGACACCTGTATTTTTTATTCTTGTGCAGACGCTCTTCCAGCCCCAGGGGAACTGTTATGAGGCCTTAGCCAGGGATTGTGTGGCCAATGGCTGCTGTGTGAATTTGTTCCTCTTCCCAAATCAGTACGTGGACGTAGCCTCTGTGGGCCTTGTCACAATGTACACTGGAGGAACACTGTACAAGTACAACAATTTCCAGGTAAGTGGTGCACATTTTCCTGCCTTTCAGATAGAAACACCTGGGGGGAGTTGTTGCTTTTCATCTCAGTTCAATGTGTGCTTGGACATTTAACATTAAAGCAGAGTTTGGAAAAGCTGGTTATCAACTCCAGGGGATAAAATTCAAACTTAGAAATGACAGATCAGGCTCAAATTTGTATCTCAAAACAGTAATAAGCTGGTTGGCATCTTAAAATCCTGCCTAGGCTGTGGGATTAAGTGCAGGAGTGGATGTTACTGGAGCTCGTTTGGTTGAACAGAAATTCTGGATGTGCAGGCCTAGTGGTGAGTGGTGCACACCTGTGTATGTACGATTCTGATAGCAACAGGCAACGTTTGAAATCTTTCAGAGGACTTGAGAGCTGGTAAATGTGAACAGATTTGCTGGGGGAGGGTCACGGGAAGGGTGCTGGCTCACTGCTGAACTGCAGCTTCTCCTCCTGCTCTGCACTCACAGCTCGATGGCGACAGCCCCCAGTTCCTAAGTGACCTCAGGAGGGATATGGAAAAAAAGATGGGATTTGATGCCACGATGAGGGTTCGGACAAGTACAGGTAATGGGACCCATGGGAATAAGCATGAACGTTAAATACAGTGCTGTGCAGATCATGTGTAAGATAAGGCTGCTTTAACTTCATTATTTACTGCTTCAAAAGCAATTGAATAGACTGATAAAATGCATGGATATGTGTATATATATATATATATACATATATTTTCATATATATATGTGTGTGTATATATATATACATATATATATGTACATATATACACACACACACATCCTCTATATTCCTCCTTAACAACTGCTTATCCAATCTGAGGAAGGCTTCTGATCACTGTGCACACATCACGGAATGCAAGTAAGTTGTATAAAAAGGTATTGCTTCTGGACAGGTACGTGTTCCTTATTTTCACACTCTAGTGACATTACTGTGCCTACTTTCCAAGCATCCTTTCATTCATGCTTACCTCAAATGCAAACACACACACAGGCCAAGCCAACAGTGCAGAAGGTCTGCACTGTCTGTCACAGCTTTTCCTTCTCACCCAGCTGTCACTAATGCCATCAGCAACAACAGTTGGTGGCACCCACTGAGGCTGCAAAGCCTTGAGAGAAAATGGTTCCTGCTTCAGCAAGTAATGTCAATTTTATTTACCATTTTTTTAAATAAAATGCCCCATTTTAATCTGGCTGTAGGATTCAGGGCTACGGAATTCTTGGGAGCCATTTACATGAACAACACTACAGATGTAGAGATGGCAGCGGTTGATTGTGACAAGGCAGTGACAGTGGAGTTCAAACATGATGACAAACTGAATGAAGACACTGGAGCCTTGATTCAGGTAAAAAAGTTTTATAATGTCATGTAATGGTGAGCAAGAACTTCTGCAGTCATAGCAGAAAAGAAGTGATGGTGTAGGACTAATGGGAGCAAGGCACAACTTGCCATACCACCACTAATAAAAGGTGTGTTCCCCTACCTCTGTAGTACATGTTCTATTCAGGGACACCACAATGCTTTCTAAACACTCATTGAGACCTCATGATGTGTTTATTTTTTCCATTTTATTATAAGTAAGTTTATTTGGAGTACAAGATTCATTGCTACTTATATGGCAGTTGTTATTGCTGTGGCACTCATTGTGATCTTTCTGTTCAAGAGCAGCCCTCTATTGCTAAACATCACTTCCAATGTTACTGGAGGACTTTTTATAACTTTAATAACTTTTATAATTTTTAATCTACTTCCATAAGAACTACAGATATGTTGCTGCCAGCAATACTGCCAGGCTGTGCTGGCTCCAGAAGGCATTTTATGCCTTTGATGCACCGAGTGGGTGGTTCTTGCCTGACAGCAGCTTTTTGTTTTGCAGTAAAAAGCAAATGGTGGTGGTTTGTGTGTGTGTTGCAGTGTGCTCTCCTTTACACAACGGTGAGCGGGCAGCGGCGCATCCGCATCCACAACATAGGCTTGAACTGCAGCGCCCAGTTGGCTGATGTCTACAGGACTTGTGAGACTGACGCACTCATCAACTTCTTTGCTAAGTCAGGTAAAGTTACAACAGACCAGTTTGGTTTCCTTTTTCAATTTGGGTGGAGGTCAGGGAAGGAAAGGGGCTGAAGTGGGAAACCATGTTTTGTACCTAGTGGGAAACCATGTTTTGTACCTTGCTGCTCCAAGTCTGAGCAACTCTTGAAGTCTGAAACTTTCCAAAGAGAAATAATTTCCTATTGTAGACAAACTGCCATAGAAGCAATGCTGGTGTGTAGGTAATGCACAGAACTGTGCCAATGGACATCCTACCGCAGTGTTGGGGGTTTGGTTGTCTGTAGGAGGGGCTAAAAACCAGCCACCCTCAGGTCATTAAAATCAGAAGCTATAGCAGATAATAGATACTTTGAGAGGCTGTGTCCATCTCCATGTACCAAGCTCTTCTGTGTTTGTAGCTTTTAAAGCCATTCTGAGCCAACCCCTGAAGACGGTGCGGGACATCCTCGTGAACCAAACCGCTCACATGCTGGCCTGCTACAAGAAGAACTGTGCCAGCCCCGCCACTGTCAGCCAGGTAAAGCCCACACTGTCCTCCCCAGCCAGGCTCTGCCTCAGGTGAACCCCATCCCTGCACCATTAGTGCTGACAGAAAGGAACATCTCAGGGCAGATTTGTGCTTTTCTTTCAAGGATAATTAATGACAGGTGGGATTAATGTTTGCACTTAGAACACCTGGAAGCTGTTGTTCTGGAGCAAAAGGCAATGCCATTGAGGACACTGATGCCCATATTCAGACAAAGGGGCTCAGCCAGCCAGGGTAGAATTACACACTGACTCACAAAGCCTTCATTTTTAATTGTTGTTGAAGACGTTTGTAGTATTCTAATTTTTGACAAGTAAGACTGACTGATTCGTTTCCTTTTAAATTATTCACTCATGTCCTGGTGATTTAACTTCACAGAAGACTCAGGCTTTTACATCCCATGCAGTGCCAGCAGTAATCACAAGTGTGGGCAATGAATCGTTCATTGTTAGTGAGGCCCGAATCTGTCAGAAACAAAACCAGAACCACTTATTGTGAACCTTTATTTCTCTCCTTAATTTTTCAGAGAATTCCTCTTTAATTTAGTGCCGAAAAACAGGCAGGGGTTACAGGGAGCTGAAAGCAGCTAAGACAAGGGGTACGGTTTATGTGGCAAATACATCGTGTCTGTTTCCTCAGCTGATCCTGCCGGACACGATGAAGGTGCTGCCCGTGTACATGAACTGCCTGTTGAAGAGCTGTGTGCTGGTGGGCAGAGCCGAAATCCCAACGGATGAGAGAGCCTTCCACCGCCAGCTGGTCATGGCCATGGGGGTGGCTGACACCCAGCTCTTCTTCTACCCCCGCCTGCTGCCCATTGTGAGTCTGGAGTGAGCGAGATAGCTTGCTTTTGCTTCCCTTCCCTTTTTCCTTTCCTTTTTCCTTCCCTTCCCTTCTTCTTTTTTATCTTTCTTTTTCTTCTTTTTTCTTTCATTTTCTCCATTCCTTTTTCTTTTTTCTTGTTCTTTTTTCTTCCTTTTTCTTTCATTTTTTTTCTCTCCCTTCCTTTTTCCTTTGTTTCTAGTTTTCTTTTTTCCTTATTTTTTATCTTTTTTCTTTCTTTTTCTATTTTCTTCCTTTCTCCTTTTCTTTTTCCTTTCTTTTTCCTTATTTTCTTTTCTTTTTTGTTTCATTTTTTTTTCATTTTCTTTTTTCCTTTCATTTTTCTTTTCTTTCTTTACTGCTATCTTCTTTTTTCTTTCTTCTCTTTCCTTTTTTTCTTTCTTCCTTTTTCTTTTTTCTTTTTTGTTTTTTCTTTTTCTATTCTTTTTTTTCTATTTTCTTTCTTTGCTTTTTCTTTCTCTTTCTCGTTTTCATCTCTGTCTGTTCATCAGTCCGTGTGTCTGTCTGTCCATCTCTGTGTCTGTCCATCCATGTCTCTGTCTGTCCATCCTTCTCTCCGTCTGTCTGTCTGTCTACGTGTCCATGTGCCCATCTGTGCGTCTGTCTGTGTGTCTGTCCACCCATCTGTCTGTCCATCTGTCTGTCTATCCATCCATCTCTATGTCCGTGTGTCTGTCCAGCTGCCTCTTCAGCTGTGTGTCCATATGTCTGCCCATCTGTTTGTCCGTTCGTCTGTCTCTCCCTCCATCCGTACGTGTTTTTCTGTTCATTTGTCCAACTGTGTGTCTGTCTGTCTGTTCATCTGTCTGTCCAGCTGTGTGTCTGTCCATCTATCCATCTATCCCTCTGTCTATCTGTTTGTCTATCCATCTGTCCATCTCTTTGTGTGTCCATCCGTCCGTCTGTCTCTGTCTGTCTGTCCATTTCTGTGTCTGTCTGTCTGTCCATCCGTCCTTGCGTCTGTTTGTGTGTCTGTCCATCCATCTCTCTCTGTCCGTCTCTATGTCCGTGTGTCTGTCCACCTGCCTGTTCAGCTGTGTGTGTCCATGTGTCTGTCCATCTGTCCATTTTTCCTCTGTCTGTGTCCAGCTGTCCATCCATCTGTCTGTTTGTCCGTCCGTCTCCATCCATCCCTACATCTATTTGTCCGTCCAGCTGTCTGTCCAGCTGTGTGTCTTGTCTGTCTGTCTGTGTGTCTGTCTGTCCAGCTGTGTGTCCGTCTGTCTGGGTGTCTGTCCATCTGTCTGGGTGTCCGTGTGTCGGTTGGTCAGACTGTCTGTCCATCTGTGTGTCTGTCTGTTGTCTGTCCGTTTTTCATCTGTCTGTCCATCTGTCCCTTTTTCCTCTCTCTGTGTGTCCATCTGTCTGTCTGTCCATCTTTCCATCCTGTGAGTCTGTCTGTCCGTTGGTCTGTGTGTCTGTCTGTCCGTCTGTCCATTTGTGTCTGCCATCTGCCTGTCTGTCCATCTGTGTCTATGTGTCTCTTTGTCTGTGTGTCCACCCATCCATGCGTCCATCTGTCCTTCTGTCTGTCCATTCATCGATTTTTGTGTCTGTCTATCTTTATGTTCCTGTGTGTCCGTCTGTCTCTCCGTCCATCTATATGTCCATCTGTCTGTCTGTCCATCTGTGTGTCCGTTGGTTGGTCTACATGTCTGTCTGTCTGTGTGCCTCTGCCAGTCTGCGTGTCTGTCTGTCTGTCTGCATCTGTCTGCCCTTTGGTCAGTCTGTTTGTCCATCTGTCTGCTCATGTGTCCATTGGGCCATCTGTCTGTCAAGCTATCTGTGTGTCTGTCAGTCGGTCTGTCTGTCCATCCATCCGTCTGTCCATCTGTGTATCCGTCTGCCTGTCTGTCCATCCGTCTCTTTGTTTGTGTGTTCCTGTGTCTGTCTGTCTGTCCATTCGTCTGTCCATCCATCCGTTATTCTTCTGTCTGTCTGTGTGTCCATCTGTCCATCCACCTGCCCGTCTTTGTCTGTCTGTCCATATGCCTGTATGTCTGTCTCTGTCTGTGTGTGTCTGTGTGTCCATCTGTCCATCTGGTCAGTCCCTCCTCCCCAGAAGGGAGAGACCCCCCTCATAGGGCCAAAACAAGGGGCAAGCCCCGTACCCGGGGGGCTCTCCCTCCTGCCATCCCCATCCCAAGCTCCACAACACAAACATTCAGTCTCAAAACCCAAATCCCTCTGATTCAGACACAACAAAAACCTCCAAATCACCAAGAAACAGCCCTAAAACCCCCAAATCATCCCCATTCAGCCCCAAAGCCCGCACATCACCACCAGCTCTTAGCTGGAAAGGAACCACCCCGCTGTTCTAAACCCTTCAGCTGTTACTTTTTACTATCTACGTGGAGCTCTGTCACTGCTTCTCCAAGCCGCGTGTCTTTCCCCGCAGCACAGCCTGGATCTGAAGAGCGATGCTGTCCCAGCTGCCGTGCGCTGCTCTGAGGAGCGTCTGTCAGAGGGAGGGGCCTTCCTGCTGGCCAACGGGCTGAGCATGTTCCTGTGGCTGGGAGCCAGCGTGTCCCCAGAGCTCATCCAAGGGCTCTTCAACGTGCCGTCCTTCGCACACATCAGCACCGACGCCGTGAGTACACGCACACTAAGGATTTAGGATTTAATAAGACCAGATGCTAATCGGGGAAACAAGGGAGGTGGTCTTTCATCAGAAACAGGTGACCAGCAGAAGGTGTTAAGACACCAGGAGTGTTTTAACTTACATAAAATTGTAAGCTGAACATTTCCAAGACAGAAGCTTTCACAGCTTCTTTAAATCTTAAACTTCGACTGTTGTAGATATTAAAGTCCTAAACTGTGTATTGCTGAAATTGGAACAAAACACTTTGCAATAGTTAGTTTCTCCTGACAGTGAGTTTTCATACAGTGACTGTTTTACAATGAAAAATGGCTTTGGCAGGTGAGTCCTCAAGATGAGACATTTTTGTGAAGGAGATGGCATTTCCCAGTTTAGAATGAAATCCGCAGCTCCTTACACCATAACTATCAGCAGCTAGTCCAGTCTGTGTGAACTGGTAAGAGCTGTGACTGGAAGATAACCACCTGCCACGTTTCCCTTCTGACAGACATCCCTGCCTGACCTGGACAATCCATTCTCTAAGAAACTGAAGCATATCCTGGAACAACTCCAGAGCCAAAAGCCCTACACTATGAAGGTAACTTGTTTCTGCTTTACCTGTTCAGAAGAACACTACAGGCTTTGTGAAAACTTACCAGTAGCTATAAAAGGTTTTTTTATGTATCAGGAGCTTTCCTGCACATCGATGAGTTCCAGCATGATTTGTAGGCACAGGCATCTCAAATATGCTTAATTCCTAATCAAAACTGACTTTCAAAGGTAGTCAAGTCTAAAAGGTAACCATTTTATTCTGCAACCCTTAATTCACATTAATTTCTCTCTGTTCAGCTACTTGAAATGTAAAGATAGTTTTGGGGGCTTTCCCCACCTCAAGAGCATCCACTAATAGACACAAGAAAACTACTGCCATCTAGTATGACTGTATTCTAAATTATCTCTCTCTTTTCAGCTGATTATAGTGAAGCAACGGGAACAGCCAGAGATGCTTTTCCGACAGTTCCTAGTAGAAGACAAGAGTATTTATGGAGGAGCTTCTTATGTGGATTTTCTCGTCTGCATTCACAAGGAGATCAGTCAGCTGCTCAGTTAAGGCAACACTTAACATTTCTCAGTTCCTTTTTCCCTTTGCAGGAGGGACGGACAGTCCCTGGTGCCTTAAGGCTGGCCCACAGCTCCACCAGGCCCAGGCCTTGTGCTGTGCTTTGCTGACCCTCTTCTGTGCTCTCTTTGGACAGTTTCATTGGCCCCACCTCTCCCCGAGTACTTCGCTTACTTACTAAGCTGTAGAATAGGAGGTTCTGCACTCAGGTATAAATCTTCTGGGAGTCCTGACTCTTTCTCTACATCAATTGTCAGATTTCAGACTGTCAGTGCTTAAGAGCATATATGGTACGCGTTTCTTAAAATACAATTTAGAAAACTCTTAATTATTCCTTTTACTAGACACAAGTTGTACAAGAGCTGGCAGAGATGCTCAGAATCTATACAGAAGTGGAAAAAATACAAAACACTTCTAAGTGAGGATGTACAGTTGAATCAGATTGGAATTAAACACATAATTCAGTTTGAAGGATTTCAGAGTCCTTCCTGGGAAGCGAATCCTTTTTTTCCTGGAAGGGACAAGTGCTACTTTCTACAGAAACAGAGCTCTGGGGACCCTTCTATGGCTGGGGTTATCCAGGACACAAATGCCTCAGTTTTCTAACTGGACTTGAGAAAGCGCAACAACAATGGGGACCACAGAAGAACAGTAATCCAACAATCCTTTTGCCATGTTTGGCAGATAATGCCTCCTCTTAGGGGCAGCAGTTAGCTTTTTAAAATTGCACAGGTTAGGTTTTATTTAGAACATTTGTTAACTGGAATATTCCCAATACAACTCAGAAAAATCTGTCCCTCAAAATTTCAGTGGCAGGTCAACTGTGAGGCAGTTGACACATTAACCAAAGGTTATTTGTGGTGCTATAAAGCCTCAAGTTTAATACCAGTTCTATTGCAGTGATCTCCTCTCACATGACTGATTTATTCAGTGGTCACTGCTTTGAAAAACAAGCCTCTGCTAATACCAATATTGAAGGTAGAATTTAGAAAGCCAGAGCCTTTGGAACAGCTGTTTACCTCAGATACTTCATCAGTGTGTCTGTCTCTGTAGGACCAGTGCCTCTGTGGGAGAGGTCTGAACTTTTCCAAACTTGAAAAGCTATTATTAAAACAATTAGTGTTTCAAAGAAAGCCAAAAAGTCTCAAAAGTAAGGCTAAGCCTCAGTAAAGAAAAAAGTGCCTTTAAACATGTTAGTGTTGCTACTTAGTATTAATTATTTAATATCCATGATTGATAAGCAGTCAAAATGTGTAACTTTTTGGTTCAACAGCTTATCTATACAGTCCTGTATGTGTCATTGACCAAGAGCTCTTAAAATAAGTGGCTGTATTACAAAAGGATTCTCAGCCTGAATTCAGCTGCCAAGACAAGCACTTTTTAGCTGTAGACATTACCCTGTAAAAAGTATTTGTTGCCATTCCATTTGTAAAATGACACCAGCAACTCTTTGTGTAAAGAAATAAGCAATTATTAAATATAATCATCGTGTGTATGTTTGTTCTTTCATATACCAAGTTTTCCAAGTTTTTTATGGCCATGCATCCAACAATTAGTACGCTGTAGGTCATCTTCTCCTACTCTAAGGAAAGGCAGCTTAGCTGGCAGCCCAGCTTTTCCGAGTGTTTCACTGTTGGCATCACCTCCAGGTATGGTTGGCAGAGTTGATCGAATGGAGCAGAGTGTACCTGTCACTTCCCTGAGTGCTGGCAAAGCCCAGCACAGGGGCTGTTCAGAACCAAGCCCAAGCAAGGCAGAGCTGTTACCCATGCACAGCTCGTGCCAGGTGCAGTTTGGGTTACCTACATTAAGCCATCCCAACAGCTAAACCAGCACTCGTTGGCAGCGATCATGACAGGGACAGTCACCACACATATGACAAGTGCAGTGCTTGGCTCTGCAGAAACAGCAGGACTGTAGTGTTTAACTCAGGTTTACAGTAGTCAGGCCTCTTTTTTCCTTTGTCATTGCTGTAATAATTACACAGAAAATTAATTCCTGTTTCATACCAAATTTACCTACTGCTTAATTTTTCAGCCCATGAGAATGACCCTATTATGGGAAGGATTAGTGCAGCCCTCCTCCATGTTAAGTTGACCTTCAGCCCATTACACAACTGCCATTTCTACTAAAGCAATAAAGCTGCCACCAATTTTCAAATGAGAGAACATCTTTTCTGCTATATACAGAAACAGTGGGTTCTTTTATCTGTCACTTCCAGTTACTCAATGTATCTTTATAAAGCCACACTGAAGAAACAAGACTTAAAAATGTTTTCAATGTACTGGGCTTGAAATGTTCGTATATTCTTTATTTCTAGAGTGCATTCTGGATATTAAAATCCTTGGCAGGGCATAGAAAAACAGCTGAGTATTCTAAAATTAATTCATTGACTTAATGCCAGTTATTATCAGATCAAAACTGCTATTTAGTTTGCAGCCTAAATTCCACTCCCCTGAACAAAGCATTCAGCACCTCTGAACACACACAGTAAGCCTGTGCTGGGGAAGACCTCAAACCCCCAAGAGCACTGACTGCCAACCTACACAGCACATCCATCATTCTAACCACCTCCAGCTGTGGCTGATTTACACACCATGATTCACAGGTGATTGTCTTGAATTCCCTCTGAAGGTAAATGCTGACACATCCTGAGTATCTTGTCAGTGCAACTGTCAAATTCCTCAATTCACAGAGGGTGTAAGATATTCCAAGTACTCTAAGCCTCTTCCAGAATGGGAAAACATGGCAAGATCTAGACAGGCATCCCAACTCAGACTGCAGGCATTATGCATTTAATAGAAGGACAGTATGCTCAAATGAGGTCTTCATTCACCTGGGGTAAAATTCATCAGCTCACTGATTCTGAGCCTTATCCTCCTCCTGTAAAGTGTTACAACTGAGAAATTAACTGACACCAGTAATGCAATTAAAAGCCTTTCATCCCTAGACACCACTTTAGATATGGTCCAAATCACAGTGATTAGGAAATGACCAGATGTTATTACCCTCTATAAAGAGGTGTGTGTAATAGTGTCTCACTACAGTATTTTCTAAGTATCATCTCCTCCACCACCACAAGGACATGACACCAAGCTTTGAGTGTGCTGCTGCCTTTACAGGCCATCAGTCTGTCACTGCTGGAACACCACCTTCCCATAATGACCAGCAGGTAATTGTTCTTCATGGAGGATGGGCACAAAGGTGGAGTTCCTTGTCCATTAAACTCAATTAAAACCAGCACTGAACTATCAGCAATGGGCATGTGGTTAAAAGGGGGAAATGAAAATTAACATTTTCTACTCATAAAAACTAAAACCAAACACCAAACAAGTTTGTCCCTGGCACAAAAGCAGTGGTCCTAAGGTTTTCTCCAGTATTAACTTTCCGAATAACATGACTAAAGCAAAAATCAAAGTTTCCTTACTGTGGCATTTACCTTCTGTCAGATGCTGACTTCACTGATGGCCCTTAAAACACCCCTCCCAAATCCAGTCACTCTCCAGGTGTGCAAATAACACAGGAAGAACCAACTCATAAACAACAGCAAGTTCCACCAGCACTGTGGCAATCCCCTGCCAAGCACACTGCCCAGGCCAGGAAGTTGACCAGACCCTCAAAAACACCTGTGCCAATATTCCTTGCACCAAAAGAACAGTTCCTGTTCAACAACAGCACAGAGGAAACCACTTGGCAATTCCAGAACCTCAAGGAGAACAAACCCATAAAATATGAAGAAAAATATTTCAACATTAGCTTTGATAAACACGTTTAATAATCTGCTACTTTACAGAACAGCTATTTAAAATCAAAGACCCACAGCTCCAACCTTGAGACACCAACAGCCAAGTTTGTTCAGCCTGCCAAGTACTGACCAAGAAGCTCAGAGCTGTGGTTCTGCTAAAAACATTGTACAAAGTGAGTCACTGTCTGTCCACACTGCACTGGAGCTCATCAGCAATAGCCAATATTTCCAAACGTGTGCAACTCCCACAGGCAAAGCCAAACACTTGGTTTCATTACCCTGTTCCCAGGTGACAAGTTTCAGGAACTGCACACATGCATTTCCAACCCGCCCTCCAACAAGGTCACCGATGCCTCTGCAGTGACACTTGTCTTACCTCCCAAAGAACAAAGTGTTACAAACACACAGTGGGTGTAAATCCCTGCTCCAGGAGCAATCCAGACCTTGCAGAAGTTCTGGACTGCACACAAACGCACAGCTTGGTGCTTTCCATGAAGCACAACACATGACTGCACAGAATTACCACTCTCCCCAATGAAAAGTGAATGCACATACACCACAAATTAAAAATTGTTCCCTATTCCCAGGAATAATTTGGGAAATTTAAACCAAATAAGAAAAAATAGAATTCTATTTATTCCATTTGCTCCTTGGTTTCAGAGAAGTTAAAATAGGTGTCAATACAGACACAGCATTTTTTCTTCCATAAGACAGTCTGCAAGTCAGAACTGCATTTCATGCCCATTCCACAATATTAATCCAGGTCAGTCCGAGCCCAAACCTCCAAATAAGGAAGAGGAATCCGTGTTTTGGAGAAAATGACAGCTGAAAAGAAAGCCCCCACCCCAAGTTTCCTAAGAGTAGAGCAAGTATCTTCCCTTCCCTCCTTCCCACGGTGTGGGAAGGGATGGTGCTCCCTGCTGTGAGTGAGTTCAGTGCTGCCATTGCAGGAGCTGCCAGCCAGGGGTGGGGCTGTGCCAGCCCAGGAAGACTGGAACAGCTTCACCAAAACCAATTTCACAAGTCATCTGGCTTGAGTCTCCAGAGGAATTCATTTCAGGAAAAACAAGACTAAGAAAGAGATTCAGAGATGGGGCGTAGGACGAGGCAAGAAGCCTTTACCTCCTCAGCGGGTGGGGAAGCCCCCTCGGTGGGTCCCTCCTCGGCCCCCTCGGAAGCCACCCCGCTCACCCCGGAAGTTCGTTCTGTTCCTCTCTCTGCCCCTCTCTCCCCGGCCGGCCGCAGTCCCTCCTCGGCCTCCTCCCCTGGGAGCACCCCCGCCCCGGTCAGACTTGGACTTGGGCGGCGGCGACTTGGGCCGCAGCCGCTCGATCTCTTCGGTGCAGCCCGTCAGGTGGGAGTTGGGAGCCGTGAAGTACGAGGAATATGTCTCTGCATTGAAGTTGCTGTTGGTGAGGGTGGGTCCCACCGTCAGCCAACCTGGGGAACAAAACCAGAGTCAATAAAAGCAAAAACAAACTTCATGCTTCCGAGGCCACTATTGTCCTTTTTCCACTCAATGGACACTCAAGTGACAGGGAGAGACACTTGCCTACATGTCACCTGTACTAAAGGGAATGAAAAGGTCACCTCTAGGGAAGCAAGATCCATTTCCCCTGGTACCAGACTAAACCTGATCAGTAAATTCATCTAATTTAAAACAACACCATCCTTCTCCCCTTTTTAAAAGTTGCATCAGTTATAAATATTTGTAAGTATAAATATTGCGTGTTTATTGCATATAGTATTGCAAATCTGTGCAGCTCGCTCATGAGGGAGAGGTTAAAGCTGACACAGGAGGATTTGAGGGGGGACTTTGTTTAATGAAGAGGATCAGTTTCTGGTATTGGGGAATTTCTCTGTTTATGGGTCGAGGGTAACTTGATTTAGGTAACTTTGTCTCCAGAACCCAGTTGTGTCAGTGCAGCCAAGAGCGCAGCCTGCTGGAAGCACACCTCTGAAAACATAATAAAATAACTGCTGAAGCCCACATGGTATGAAAATAGAGCTTACAGAGTTAAATTAGCCTGTTTATAGAAAAACATTCAGTGGTCACTTCAGCTTCACCAAGTGAATCAAGACAGGCAAACATTAAAACAAGCTCATTCCTATTTCTTCTAAAACTACAGTTTTGTGGCTGATGGATCTTCACATACACCAACAATGTATCTCCTTGAGATCTACAGGTCTGACCTATGATACAGGTCCAGAAACCTCTTTAGGACACTGACATGAATTTTACAAGCAGGGAATTCTGCTACCCTGTATTACACATGATAAAGACATTTCAATTTTTAGAGCTAGTGTGGAGATTATTTCACTATTAAATCCAGGAAAAAAAGCTTAATGGAAAGGAAATATTCAGAAAATGAAAAGACAGAAATTACACTTTTCAGTAGTTCAGTAGAAAACTGAGTAACTGTAGCATTTATCTTCAATTAGAGATAACATGGAGAACAAAAGCATAAAGGTCTTACTGTTTTAGCAAGTGTTTACTTCTAAAAATATCTCTAAAACAAAAAGCCTTTTCTATGATCTTGCTCCCAAAGATGATATTAAAATTGTAACTTAACTGTACTATTGTTTAGAAGGGTTCTCTATGATGCTCCTGCATCCTGGGCTGAGGATTCACCCCAAGACAGACATTCTTGCCAAGAAAATACTTGCATGAGATCTTTAGTTGTAGCAAAGCTTTCTGCTTTTTGACCACAAGGGACAGAGCAGAAGTCACTTTGCCA